GACGAGATCTGCGGATCCAAGGGATCAAGACATCAGGGACGTCACCCTTGGCGCGCAAGGGGAAGACCGTGGTGTAGCGCGAGAAGTCGTCAACAACAATCAGGAAGTACCTCTCCTGACCCTGACCACGGACGCGGGCTGGGCCCCACACGTCCATGTGGAGCGTCTGCAGGGGAGCTGTCGTCGGGGGAAAGGAGGAGGAGTGAGGAGCGGCGCGCTGCCGTCCCTCGACACAGGGAATACAGGGAGGAGCAGGCGAGTCGGGAAGGGGAGGGAGCACCCTGGGAAGACCAGCAACAAGGTCCCGTTTGTGCATGGCCCGAAGGCGCTGCACAGACGGGTGACCAAGGCGGTGGTGCCAAAGGACAGTCTCATGCGCCAGAGAGCGACACGAGCAGGGGGCGGACAGCTGACCTGACGCAGACGCAGACGCGGACGCAGCTACCTGAGGGGACTCAGTGGTCAGTGTGTAAAGGTCCGACCCCGGCTCCCGAGTGAAGGTAGCCAGGTGGCGACCCGTCCGAGCACACGTGCAGTGTGTCACGCGCTCGTAGGCAGGGGTGAACTGGTGAACACCCCCGTCCTGGAGCGCACTACCTGCCACCAAGTTCGTAGAGAACGAGGGGAGGTAGAGACCTGACAGCGTGCCGGACGGGACCGCCGGACAAGGAAGGACAGTGGAGGAGGTCGCAATGACCGGACCCCCAGAGGGGTCAGCAAGGGAGACAGCAACTGGCCGAGCGAGTGGCTCAAGGACAGTGCGGTCACGAAAGAAGGAGCGAGAAGCACCTGAGTCCAGTGTGAAGGTGTGAAGTGCTGCAGTCGACTCAGTACCAGGGGGCACGGACGCACGAGCACCTAGGGTTGCAGCCGGACTGGCCTGAATGCCCGGGTCGGGCGGAACACGCAAGTACTGAGCACCCTCTCCACTAATAGACATCGCATACATGGCAGTGAGAATAGCATCAAAGTCTAAAGCCCAAATATCAACACCCCTCTTTTCCAGATCAGCCCAGCGCGGCAGCTCAGTGGCAGCAGGAAACTGAGTGCGCCACGCGTCGTTAAGGCGCGCGAAGCAGCGCTGCATGGGGTGCGGCCTCCCACACTGCTGGCCGCTGCGGTCACCTGTGCGAATGACGTACGTGCAGGTAACGCTACGCTGCGCATACCACTCACGGGCGGCCTGAAGCGTCGGGGCGGGCTGCTGACTCTGCCCTCCGCCAGTGCCTCCACGACCACCACCCCCACCGCCGCCTCCCCGGCCACCTCCACCCCTGCCGCCGCCACGACCACCTCCGCCTCCGCTGCCGCCTCCGCCACCACTCCCACCGCTGCTGTCTCCTCCCCCACTGCCGCCACTAGTCTCCCCAGCCGCGCCTCCACTCCCACCGCCTCCACCCCCACCTCCTCCGCCGCCACCCCCACCCCTGCCCCCCTTGTTCCTGCGGCGCCCGCTCGAAGCAGACGCGGTCCCGACCTTCTCAGCACCAAGAAGGTCGACAGCAGCAGCAGAGGCGACAGAGGGGAGGAGGGGGGAAGGGGAACACCCCTCAAAGAACGGGGTGCGGGGGTCGCCACGAGAGGTGCCTACAGCGACGATGCTCGCCTCAGCTGCAAGCAGTTCCTTCTCGAGGAGGGCAACAGTGAGCTCAGTGGGGGAGCGAGAGAGGAAGTGGTCCCTGACTGCGCGCAGAGAGTCAGGGAGGCGGGTGACGATGTGGTAGAGAGTGATCCAGAGTGGGGGGGGGTTGCTAGTGAGAAACTCGGTAGGCATAGCAGCGCGAAAGCGGGCCTCACTAGTCTTAAGGTGGGTGATGAGGTCTGCGACAGTGTGAAAGGAGGCTAGGTCGGGGAACAGGTAGGGGAGAGTGAGGCGGCCTAGCGTGGCAGAAGCGGGTGAGGAGTAGCGGGCAACTACAGCGGTGTAGAGGTCCTTAGCAGTCTTGCACTGGCCGAAGTGCTCGCGCTCGTCTAGCGGCAGGGAGTTGCGAATAGCAAAGCGAGCGTGCGCATCACGGGTCTGCCACTGGGAACGCAGAGTGCTGTCAGCAGACGAGTCAGGGGCAGTGGCATGGCCTAGGGCATGGTCGTACAGTGAGATATCTTCCTTGGCAGTGAGCTGTAGGAACAGGTGCAGGTCATCGAGCCAGGTTTCGAACTTCACTGGACGGCCCTCGGCATCGAAAGCTAGAACTGGCGGACTAGCCATAGTGACAGTAGTAGTAGGAAGCGTGGTAGGTAGAAAATAAACAGCAGTGAGATCGAGTGCCTCGCGGGCAGCGGCTGCAGAAGTGCACGGACAGTCGGCAGCGGCGCACGGGGAACGGCAGTGCACGGGCAGCGGCGGCGCACGGGCAGCGGTGGCGCTCGGGAGGCAGCGGTGCGCAAGCAGTAGTGGAAGCAGCGGCGTACGAGCGGTTGCGGGCACCGGGGCGTGTGCGAGGAGGCGACGAGCGGCTGCGGGCGGGCGGCCGCTGCGACGGCGGGCTGCGGGCCTGCGGGGCGTGCGTGAGCGGCAGCGGCTGCGGGCCTGCGGCGCACTAGCGGTAGCGGGCGACTCGCGGGCGGCGGCTGCAAAGGCGCACGGGCGGCAGCGGCTTATGCGCACGGGCAGCAGCGCCGACAGCGCACGGGCGGCTGCAGCAGCGAGCGGTGCGCAAGCAGCAGCGGCAGCAGCGCACGGGTGGCAGCGGCGTCGGTGCACGGGCGGCAGCGGCGTCGGCGGACGGGCGGCTGCGGGCAACGGGCGTGCGGCAGCTGCGGCGGCGAGCTGCGGGCCTGCGGGGCCACGGCGGGGTGTGCGCGAGCGGGCGACGGGCGGCTGCAGCAGCGGGCGCGTCAGCGAGGCGCACAGGCAGCGCGCGGGCAGCGTGCGGGGCCGCGCGTAAAGAAAACAGCCGCGCGCGTGCGGCTAGCGGGGCGCGCGCAGCGAAATCGACCGCGCGCGGGCGGGTAGCGGGATACGCGCGCTAAAAAAAAATAATAATAATAAATAATCGAGTCGCGCGCGGGCGGCTGGCGGGCTGCGCGCGCGCGGTAGGTAGGAGGCGCACGAGGGCGCGTAGGCGCACGAGGCGCACAGTAGGTAGGTAGGTATGTAGGTAACGGTGGGCCCTAAGAACGGTCCTAGCAAAGGACCTGCTCTGAAACCATGTCAGAAAAATCGGACTGGAATGACTGTACTAACAGAAGGATGGATACAAATAGGAAACCCTAATCCAGTGTACCCCCTAAGGTATCACCCACTACAGCCTACAATCATATAAACATAAAATGTTTGACAACACTCTGGTGTAGTCATGGACGGAACCGTGCTGGCGCCAAATGTGGAACCTCTGTCGCGCCGCAATCGAAGCCGCGACTTGCTCAAATTTCGCGTCAGACCTGCACACCATGCGTCCCACATGCGATACAGGGGTAATTCTACGAAATACGACGGCACCCAGGGTCCGGATTCTCCTTCTCGTGTCGGTAGTGTCCCGTAGTCCACCAACTTCATGACGATGACGCGCCACGAGTCCAGGTTCATGGCAGGTCCTCGCAGCAGCGACACGGCGTATCGAAACTTCGCCAAGTCCTTTGAGACGTAGTTGGCGTCGAAGAGGACGTTCATCATGAACAACCACGCCTGAACGGCCGGACCATCCCGTTGGCTTGGACCGAAGCAAGGTAGACGCTGCGGCTTCAGCAGCATCGGTGATGGCAGTGCTGACTCGCCGTTCGGCACCGAAATCGTGACGCCCGGTTGGCTTCCGATCGCATTCGTCGCTTCAAGGTGTGTTGCACCGTGGTCGTCATCTTCGTCGTTAAGTGCGACGCCATCACTAGTCGCGCTCAAGAGTTGCCTCATGCTCCCGTGTTGCGAAGCTTGACATGCTGCTTGTCCTTGTGTGCCATGTGTTTGTGATTGTGCTTGTTGTGATAGTGCGACGCTATTTTGTAGCGACGTACGTTCTGCCATCAGCACCCACAATTTCTTCGATGTTTTCTTGCAGTTGCTGCAGCAATTGGTCCAAGCACTTTTGCGTGAGGGTGGTGACGTCTATGCGTTCCCCCGTTTCGAAGGGCGGTGGCTCAGCTTAGCTCTAGGCGCAGTCATGCCTGCACATGTTTACTAGAGAATGCAAGGACAGGGGCTCGTAGGTGCTAAGGGGCGTGCGCCCTTTTGAGTGCAAAAATAAAAAATTGATTTCTCTGGATGTGGAGATGGGCGGTCTGAAAGAAAGTGGCTCTGAATACCAAGTGTTATGGGTGCAATTGAACGAGATAGTGAGGATTGCACTAGGTGTTAAACAAGTACAAAGTATGATCGAAGGCATGATGAATAATTATTTGCGAAACATGCAAACGGTAACGCGGTGCGTGCGAGCTAGCTGGTGGCTAGCATCGTGGTTTGGGCTAGTCTCGAAACGTAGGCAGACTCGGCCGGACTAGTGGTGCATGGTTTGATGAAAACAGTGCGCGCGAAGTTGGCGAAGCCTCGTTAGCAAAAATGGGCAAACAACGGCTGCTGCTGTATGTGATATTGAAGAAAGCGTAAGGAATGTCGAAAAATTCCTTACATGGTGTTACGAGTGCATTAGAAAGAGATAGCGAGGATTGCACTAGGTGTCAAACGAGTACAAAGTATGAGCGAAGGCATGAGCGAATACTTATACGCGAAACATGCAAACGGTAACGCGGTGCGTGCGAGCTAGCTAGTGCTAGGCTGGCATCGAGGTTCTGGCTAGTCCCAAAGCATAGGCCAACTCGGTCGGGCCAGCGGTGCATGGTTTGGTGAAACAGTGCGCGCGAAGTTGGCGAAGCCCCGTTAGCAGTAACGGGCGAACAACGGGTGTTGCTGTACGCGAGCTTGACTGTCGCAGTAAGGAATAGCGAGAAAATTCCTTACACATTGGCACTTATGTGAGCTGCTATATATACATATATATTTATGTATACATATTTATGTATATCTTCTTGAGAAACTTGAAGTGGTGCTCCTAGCATCAGGGACTAACATGGGTGCAGTGCAGTGTACTACGACTTCTAGTTGGAAACCCCGTCCCATACGCTGCGCTTCCAACAGCCGCAGCAACGTGGACGGTTATCTGCTGGCAGCCGCGTTCCTCGCGCCACATTTGTTCCGCAGAGCGGCGCACGGATGGCACAGGAAACGGGGGATGGCGGAAGAGAGGAGGAGCAGAGCTGCGGGGAAGTCATTGACGACCATATCGCTGAACGTGCGGAAGTCGCAGGCGACGACGACGACGACGACGACGACGACGACGACGACGACGACGACGACGACGACGACGACGACGTGAGCGACAGTGGCGACGACGTGGTGCTGCTGGGGTTCGTGCAAAAGCCGTCGCACGCCTGGTCGCTCGCCCGCCATCGCTTCCCCAGCAAAGTTGGGGGTGCGCCGGTGAGTGCGGCGAGGGGGATGTGCGAGATGCCATGAGAGATGCGATGAAAGATGCGAGATGCGATGAGAGATGCGATGAGAGATGCGATGGGCGGCAAAGATGAATGACATGCGATGAGAGCGCTGTTGTGACGATGCGAGTGCGCCAAGACACGTGTGCCGCCAACCCCAGGCTTGAGCTGGCGGTACGGCGCTGGTGTGCGTGCTCCCCATTCCCCAGTGCCTTGGCGCCCGCACCACCTGTCGCTGCTCCGCCTCATGGCTCCAGTCCGCGCTCGCCATGGAGTCTCGTGCCTTCCCTGCCTCGTTCTGAGTCTATTCAGAACTATGGAGTCTCGTGTCTTCCCACGCGGAGGCATGTGATACCACGTGGAGGCATGTGATACCACGTGGAGGCATGTGATACCACGTGGAGGCATGTGATACCACGTGAAGGCGTGTGATGGCATGTGATGGCGTATGAAGAGGCATGTATGTACCCTGACAACATTTCATGCCGTCCATCTCATGCTGGCATGTCCTGTGCTGTGCTACGACCCCCATTCCCCCCCCCACCAGGCGTACCTGGACCCGCTCAACCTGCCGCCACACGCCCTCCTCTGCCACTTCTGCTCGCACCCCCTGCGATTCCTGCTGCAGGTCACCTTGCTGCTCCTTACCTCACTCACACCACTCTCTCGCATCTCACGCACACTCCGCATCTCACGCACACTCCGCATCTCACGCACACTCCGCATCTCACGCACACTCCGCATCTCACGCACACTCCGCATCTCACTCACACTCCGCATCTCACTCACACTCCGCATCTCACGCACACTCCGCATCTCATGCACACTCCTTGCACGTCCTCCCCTTCCCCCTTCCCCCTTCCCCCGTGCAGGTGTACTCGCCAGTGGACAGCGAGCCGTCTGCCTTCCACCGCACGCTCTTCCTCTTCGCATGCCGCCACCAGCACTGCCTCACACGCCACCAGCAGGAGCAGGCAGAGGTGGCGGACGGCAGAGCAAAGGAAAGGAGACGAAGGTGAGCTGGTGGGGTTGGGGGAACGGGGAGTGAGGGAATATTTGTTGTTGGAAGCGTGTTCATGGCAGCATGGCAGCATGACATGTTGTTTGGAAACCCTCCTTATGTGCTGCACGTGTCCCGTCTTGGTGGTTTATTGTCATAAGTATTTGTGAAAGTGCATGCGTGCTTGCAAACGAATGTGATCCTTTCCTTTCTGTGTGTTCACATGTGCATGTTCAATTGTGAATGCGTGTGTGTTTGCATGGAATGTATGTGTGCATGGAATGCATGTGTGCATGGAATGTATGTGTGCATGGAATGTGTGTTTGCATGGAATGTGTGTTTGCATGGAATGTATGTGTGCATGGAATGTATGTGTGCATGGAATGCATGTGTGCATGGAATGTATGTGTGCATGGAATGCATGTGTGCATGGAATGTATGTGTGCATGGAATGTGTGCGTGCACGGAATGTGTGTTTGCATGGAATGTGTGCGTGCATGGAATGTATGTGTGCATGGAATGTATGTGTGCATGGAATGTATGTGTGCATGGAATGCATGTGTGCATGGAATGTATGCGTGCATGGAATGTGTGCGTGCATGCCCCCCTTATGCACCATGCCCTCCCCATGCACCATCATTGCCCGCCCACAGTGTGTGTGCGCTGCGAGCTCAGCTGCCTCGTGCCAACCCCTTCTATGCCTTCACCCCGCCCCCTCCGGATGCACCGGGAGCACCACTCTCCCACCAAGGTCACTCCCTCCCCGTCATCTCCCCTCCCCGTCATCTCCCCTCCCCGTCATCTCCCCTCCCCGTCATCTCCCCTTCTCGTCATCTCCCCTCCTCGCCATCATTTCTCCCCGTCATCTCTCCTCCCCATCATCTGCCCTCTGCCTCCTCTGCCGGCTGCTGTATGCCTGCTGTATGCCTGCTGTATGCCTGCTGTATGCCTGCTGTATGCCTGCTGTATGCCTGCTGTGTGGCTGCTGTATGCCTGCTGTGTGGCTGCTGTGTGGCTGCTGTGTGGCTGCTGTGTGGCTGCTGTGTGGCTGCTCCTGCGTGCCACGGCTTGCTTGACTGCTCCCCTCGTGGCTCAAGTCCCTGCCTCCCCTCTCTCCACGCGCAGTGCCCATGTGCGAGTGGTGTGGCACGTGGAGGGGCAGCAAGCGCTGTGGCGGCTGCAGGCAGGTGGCCTACTGCAGCAAGGACCACCAGGTTCGCCCCCTGTGTCTTGCCTCCACATGCTGTTTTACAACCATCACACCATCACACAGTTCATTCTCCCCCTTTTGTGCACGTGCTGGTGGGAGGTCAGGAGTTGGATGCCCTGACTTGATTCTTTCAAACCACCACGCCTCCCTGCCGTTGCACCATGCCCCCCTCCTTTCAACTCAAACCACACCACACCTTTGTGCACTCATCTTCTTCTCTTCAATCTCCGCTCCCTGTGTCCCTGCCGCTATCCGCCCGGCACATGCTCACCGCCTTGGCAACGCCCCTGGGCCCATCCCATCAGAAGGAGCACTGGCGAGCGGGCCACAGTGCTACCTGCCCCCGCACTCCACCCACCACCTCTGCCACCTCCCCACCCGCTGCTCCCTCTGCTCCTCACGCTCCTCTTCCTGCTGCCGCTGCTCCCTCTGCCCCGTCACATCCTCCCGGCACCGACACGTCAGCAGCAAGGATACCTGCCACGTCAGCAGATGCTGAGTCAGCAGGGGGTGCAGGGAGTGACGTGTCAGAAGCGGATTGGAGAGTGACAGTGTTGGACAGGGGCGGGTGGAAGGAGTGGGAGATGGTGGTGGAGGAGGAGCCGGAGGAGGGAGAGGATGGAGAGGAGGGGGAGGAGGGGGAGGAGGGTGCGGAGGGAGAGGACGCAGGGAGAGAGGGGGGGAGTGGAGGGGAAAAGGGGGTGGGGGTGGGGCCCGGGGGGCGGAGGTGCGGCGGCTAATGAGGGAGTATCGGGAGCGCACCTGGGCGGAGGGGCCCATCGCTGCCAGCGAGCTGGAGGGCTTCGGAGAGGTCAGGCGCTGCTGTGGCGTGCAGTGGGTGGTGTGTGGGAAAAGGTGGGCGTGCGTATGGAGTGGGCATGGGGTGGGCATGGGGTGGGCATGGGGTGGGCATGGGGTGGGCATGAGGTGGGCATGGGGTGGGCGTGCGCATGGGTTGGTCGTGATGTGTTGAATGCTGACTTAAGTATCAGTGCCAACTTTCCCCTCGTGTCCCCTTGGCTTCCCTGCTTTCCCTGTAGGAGCCGCACTCCCGCTCCCCTCTCGCTGTGGCTCACATCCCTGCATACCCACCCACCCACCTGCCCGCCCACGTCTAGCCTCTGCTCCCCCCATTCCATCCCTCTTTCCTTGATTGGCTACAAACGAAGCTGCGTTTCTTTCCTCTCAATGCCCCCTCGGTGCGGTGTGGCATGGTTCGGTGTGGCATGGTGCGGTGTGGCATGGTGGGTATTTCAGGGGGCGGATGTGGAGAAGAAGCAATGGGCCGCGTTTCAGGCTGTGATTGCCAAGGCACCTGAACAAGTGATCAGGTGATTGCCAAGGCACCTGAACAAGTGATCAGGTGATTGACGAGGCACCTAAGGTGATTCGCAATGGCCCCTTTCAAATTCAGCACACGCACAACTTCCAAGACCCGTCACACACACAACATCTCATATGAGCCCCCTCGAACGCAGAACCTCAGCCATAGTTCAGCTTGCTGGAATTACTTGGAACATGTGTGAACACGAGCCCACTCACACATCTACGTGCACACACACACAGACGCACATGTATACGCGCACGCAAGCACGCGCCTGCACGCACGCACGCACGCACGCACGCACGCACGCACGCACGCACGCACGCACGCACGCACGCACGCACGCACGCACGCACGCACGCACGCACGCACGCACTCACGCACGCACGCACGCACGCACGCACGCACGCACGCACGCACGCACGCACGCACGCACTCACGCACGCACGCACGCACGCACGCACGCACGCACGCACGCACGCACGCACGCACGCGCGCGCGCGCGCACACACACACACACAAGTGTGCATGCACAGATGTGCAAGAGAGCTGCTGCTTGATGCCATCTCCGTCTCACAACCCCCTTCCCTGCCATGCCTCCTGCTCTCTGTCTCGCACACCTGTCCTCACCCTTGCTCCCAGCTATCTTCCCCCTCCCTCCTCCCTTCCCCTCCCCTCCTCTCTCTCTCTACTTTCATCTGTCCTCCTCCCCATGTCTCCCCCACTCAGATACTGCCGATCAGCCACCGCCCGTCCGCTGTGGCCGCAGCTGCAGGGGCAGCCGCCCAGCCAGACTGCCATTCCTCCCTGTGGCGGCTGTGGTGCTCCCAGGATATTCGAGTTCCAGGTGCGCTCAGGTGGATTCTCAGGTGGGTTACCCCAGTGCGTTCAGGTGGAAGTGTATGCTACCAGGGAAGCCTTCTGCTCCGGCCGTCCAGCATGGGGTTCCTTCAATGCCTGTGCGGCATCAGTCTGATGGTGAAGGGAGTGAGTGGGGGTGACTCACTGCCCCACTCACCTGGCGGCTGCCCACCAGCCTCCACTCACCGCCATTCATCCAGTGCTTGCTGCTCACCTCATGCACGCGCAGCCTCTCCTCTCCACTCCATTCCTGCTCTCTCTTGCACTCACCTCCCCCTTCCCCTTTGGATACCCTCTTCCGCCTGCCTTCCGTCCTGCCCACCCACACCCCTCACTGGATGCACTCCCCCAACCCAAGCCACCCACGGCGCAATGCGTGCCATGCCATGCCGCTGCTGCACGCCAATGCTCCTCACAACTCTTCCCTTGCTTCTCTTCCCGCCTCCCCCCCAGCTGCTCCCCCAAATCATCTACTACAGTGCGCCTGACGCCACTGCTGACTCAGCGCTCGACTTCGCCACGTTGGCAGTCTATGTCTGCCCCAACTCCTGCTGCCGCGCTTCACCGCTCAGCACCGCACAGCACAGCAGTGTGGCTGTCCCAAGCAGTGTGGCTTCAGGAGTTGAAGCAACAGCACGGGGGGCAAGTGCAGAGGGAAGCAGCAGTGCAGCGGGCAGCAGAGATGCAGGCAGTGGGGACGTGAAAGGCTGCGAGGCAGCAGGGCAGGGCGAGAGCTTGTACGAGCAGAGCATGGGGTATGTGGAGGAGTTTGTGTGGGTGCAGCTGCCTACCCAAGACCCTCCCGTCGTTCCTCAAACCGATTGAGCATTCACCCCACTCTCTTTGTCTTCGTATTGCTCTTTAATTTGGGAGAAAGTAGATATGTCAGGGATACATTCATTGTACAAAAACAGGGCTGAAAATCAGCATTGTCTAGGAATGATTAGGTTAGGTCTCAGAATATATTAATACTGATGTACATGCAGCACCATAAAATGAGGTCCCGCAATGATTAAAAGAGGTTGCCCTTTCCGCGTTCGATTTCCTCTCACGTTCAAGGACGCAGGACATCTGCGCTGCGGAACCTGCGATCGTACAAACATGACGTCACTACCCACAACGTTGCGCCACTCGGGGCTTGATGTCATGACGTTGTGTGTTACCATGTCACGCGCGTACAGTAACACCCTGCCACAGTGACACCAACGAACGACGCGCGTAACTGAACTTCCCTTGCGTTACTGAAAGCGTCTTGCGCTGCCGTGCCTTCCACGCGTCCACTTCTCCCGCAGTAACCCCGCGACACTCGCGCTGAATCGCGGCCACCGCGGCATGAGGCGAGCTGCGGGGAGTTCTCGCGCAGCGACAGAGGGCCGCTCGGGGGAGTGGCGCATGCGCGCAAGCGCAGGCGGGATGGCGAGTGTGGGGAGTTGGGGGAGTGTGGGCCCCACACGCATCGACGAGGACGGCGACGACACTGGTCTGCTTGACGCGTGGCACGATGATGACGTGGCGATGGAGCAGGAGGGAGAGGGAGAGCGTGAGGGGGAGGGGGGGGACATAGGGGGTATGGAGGAAGGGGATTTGGAAGAAGTGGCTGACTTGGAGGAGGTGATCGATGACGAGGCTGACAATATCGCGTACGAGGAGGATGAAGACGAGGGGGAAGAAGGGGAGGAGGAAGAGGATGAAGAGGAGGAAGAGGAGGGCGACGAGACAGGTGCTGTACGGGAAGATGAAGATGACAGGGGCGGGAAGGGTGAAGAGGGTGAGGAGGGTGAAGAGGGTGAGGAGGGTGAGGAGGCGGGTGAGAAGGACGAGAGGAGGAGGAGGAAGAGGAGGAGGAAGAAGAGGAGGAGGAGGAAGAGGGGGAAGAAACGGATGAGGAGGAAGGGGAGGACTCAGACTGGGCACCGGAGTCGAGCAGCGGGCAGGGGGACTCGGAGGACGGGGAGGGCGAGGAGTGGGGGCCGCAGCAGGGGCGCGCTGAGGAGGTGCAAAGGCGCGATGGTGCAGGCGCGCAGGCGTGGAGCGAGGGGGGGGCAGCAGCAGAGGGGGGAGGGGAGGGGACGAGCGAGGAGGGACTGGAAGGCGATGTGGTGGGACGGGGACACGGACGAGGGCGGGGAAGGGGAAGGGGGAGGGGGAGGGGGAGGGGGAGGGGGGGTGAAGGCAGGGGCAGAGGGAGGGGAAGGCCGAGGGGAAGTGGAGGAGAAGGGGAGACAGGTGGCGGCAAGGAAAGCTGGAGGGGCAGGGGGAGGGGAAGAGGAAGAGGCAGAGGGAGGGGGAGGGGGAAGGGGACTGGTCGAGGGAGAGCAGTGGGGATGCAGGTGGTGCTGCGGAAGGGGAGGGGGGCGAGGAGGGCGGGGAGGGGCAGTGGGATAATGTGGGTGCAGGGAGGGGACGGGGGACAGGCAGGGGGAGGGGCAGAGGGAGGGGCAGAGGGAGGGGCAGAGGGATGGGGAGGGGGCGGGGGAGAGGGAGAGGCAGGGGAAGGGGAGGGAAGCGCGGCATGTCAGGCGAGGGCGAGGAGGAGGGGGAGGGCGGTGCCCTGGGCGCATGGATGGCTGGCGGTGCTGCAGCAGTGCCGTCGCTATCAGCGGCCCACCGCAACCCCGCTCTGGCGCTGCAGACATTCCCCCACTGGGGCCGCGGTGGAGGGCGCGAAGGGGGACAGGCAGACGAGGGTGAGGAGGGAGACGAACGGCAGCGGAGGAGAAGGTGTGTGGTTCGCTCGTCCCTGGCCTTTTGCTCATTCGTTGCTCTTACTTCCACCTCTACATTAAAACTTCCTGCCCTCGTCCACTTCTGTTTCGCAAATCTCCCCTCCCCTCTCCCTCCCTCCGCACTGTTGTCTTCGCTTTCCCCCTGCCCTCTCCACATTCGCCCTCCCTCTTTCCTCTCTCCTCTCCCACTCTCTTCGCATTCACCTCATTCCTCCCCCCTCCCACCCTCGCTCCTCCTCCCTCCCACCCTCGCTCCTCCTCCCTCTCGCCCTTGCTACCTGCCTCCTCCTTCCCTCCGCGCAGGCGCCGCCGCACACAGGAGGGCAGTGGGGACAGCAGTGACGAGGGGGGGGGAGGCGGTGGAGGGGCGGTGCGGGCGGCGTTGTTTGGAGCTAGCATGGACGACATCTGGGAGGCCGCCACAGCGCCGTCTCGCAAGCGACGCAAGATGGTCCGTCCGTCCCTCCCCACGCTCTCCCCGTGCTCTCCCCACACTCTCTCCATGCTCTCCCCACGCCCTCTCCCCTTTGCCCCGTGCTTGTAGTTTCTTCCATTCTCTCGTCACACCATCATCACCCCTCTACATCTCTCCCTGGCAGCTGCGCAAGCAGGGCCGGCCCAAGGGGTCGTCACGCCTGTCTCCTGAGGTGGTGGCTCGCCTGGGCGATGCCAACCTCATGTACGCCATGGGCCGCTACACTGAGGTGAGCGGCGGTGCAGCCAGGTGAGCAGCGGTGCAGCCAGGTGAGCAGCGGTTCAGCCAGGTGAGCAGCGGTGCAGCCAGGTGAGCAGCGGTTCAGCCAGGTGAGCCGCGGTTCAGCCAGGTGAGCTGCGGTGCAGCGATGTTAGGAACGGTGCAGCAAGATTAGGAGTGGTGCAGCTAGGTGGAGGAGAGCGAGAGAGTCAAGCAGAGCCCACATTACATTCCACTAGGCTGGGGGCACTGCTGATGTTCACCATAAGCCACTGCACCACCTGCCCTGCCCCTCCCCGCCAGGCCATTCCTCTACTGGAGGCGGTGATACGGGAGGCGCCTGCGGTGCCCGACAGCTACCAGACGCTGGCACTGGTGTACGACGCACTGGGGGATAGGAAGAAGGCCGTGAACCTGAGCATGATCGCTGCGCACATCACCCCTCAAGATACCGCGCTCTGGCGCCGCCTCGCTGCCTGGTCGTTGTAAGAAAAGAGGGGTGGGGCAGGGGAGGAGAGAGCGTGCTTGGGGATGGCTTGGAGTGGGAAAGGGGGAGAGGCAAGAGGGGCAGCTAGTAGTGAGTTTCTGGTGGGTGCTTGATTGCCTAGTGACAAGAAAGTATCTGAAGATAGTTCCTGTGATTGGCCCTCAGTCAACCACGCTTGATTGCTGTACCCCTCACTCACCTCTCGTGCGCCCTCGTGTGCGCTGCAGGGAACTGGGCAACCCCTCTCAGTCACTCTACTGCCTCTCCAAGGTACTTCCCCCTCACTACTTCCTTTTCGCCCTGTTCTTCTCCATCCACATTTCTCCCCTCCAACCGCACTTCTCTTCCCTCCCTTCTTGGCATCTGCACCTTACCCTGCCACCTACCTCCCGCACCTTGCTGCACTGCCCAGGCCGTCTCATGCTGCCACGGGCACTGCCGCGCACCCCTGCCGCTCTCCTCCCCTCCGCTCCCCTCCAACCGCATCTCGCTCTCCCCATCCCTCCTGCACACAGCGCCTCGCTCCCACTTGGGCATGGAGGCAGGCACGGCCAGGCGTTGCTGCTGCCAGGTGGAGCCGATCGTTGCCGTCCACGTGCCGATCGTTGCCGTCCACGTGCCGATCGTTGCCGTCCACGTGCCGATCGTTGCCGTCCACGTGCCGATCGTTGCCGTCCACGTGCCGATCGTTGCCGTCCACGTGCCGATCGTTGCCGTCCACGTGCCGCTCGTTGCCGTCCGCGTGCCGATCGTTGCCGTCCACGTGCCGCTCGTTGCCGTCCACGTGCCGATCGTTGCCGTCCACGTGCCGCTCGTTGCCGTCCACGTGCCGCTCGTTGCCGTCCACGTGCCGATCGTTGCCGTCCACGTGCCGATCGTTGCCGTCCACGTGCCGATCGTTGCCGTCCACGTGCCGATCGTTGCCGTCCACGTGCCGATCGTTGCCGTCCACGTGCCGCTCGTTGCCGTCCACGTGCCGATCATTGCCGTCCACGTGCCGATCGTTGCCGTCCACGTGCCGATCGTTGCCGTCCACGTGCCGATCGTTGCCGTCCACGTGCCACTCTCTTTTCATCCGCTCTTCCCACTCAACCCCTCCTCCCCGTGCCGTCCCCACCAGGTGGTGCGGCGGGACCCCTCAGACGTGGAGGCGCGGTGGGAGCAGGCGCTGCTGCTGGCGGAGGCGGGCGACTACCGCCGCGCCGCTGCTGCTCTCGAGCTCATGCGCGCTCACAGGGAGGCGGGCGGGCAAAGGGAGGCCGATGGGGAGGTCTGCAAGATGCTGGCACGGGTGAGATGGAAGGGGGTTAAGTGCATGGAGTTGTGAGGTGTGGCATTGCACGACCTGGCATGGCATGGGATCGTGTGGGGTGGATGGACATGGTATGGCGTGACTGGGAGTTTGAAGCATATCGCCGAGGCATCTTGTGCTGGGCCCGTCTGCAAAGTGTCCTCCACCCATGCCACACCCATGCCATCACTGCAACAGGCTCAGGGCACCTTGCCTCGCCCACCCTCCTCTCTCCTCCCTCCCCCAGATGTATCACCGCATCGACCAATCAGACAAGGCCATCGAGGTCCTCCAGTCGCTGCTCTCCTCCCCCTCCGCCACCCCCGCCGCCCCTCTTGACCTCACGGCGGTCAACATCCTCGCCGAGCTCTACATGACCAAGGGAAGCTTCCAGGAAGCGCTGGCGGTGGTGGAGCGGGCGCGGGTGTCGCTGTGTCCCGGGGAGGCCCTGCCGGTGGACCTGGGCGCCAAGGCCGGCACCTGCCTCGTGCGCCTGGGCCGCTTCACAGACGCTCAGGTGAGCCCTGTGCTGTGCGCTGTCCTCTGCGTGGAACATGGTTCTGGGCTGCAAGCGACTGGAAACTCTTCCCCTACCTGCTTGTTCATGCCAGCATGACTCACACATGCACAGGAGAGGCGGAGCTTGTACAATTGGATTCACCCCATGTACACCCAGGTCTATTGGGGAATCATATCCACTCTCCACATGCCCTTAACTTCCTTGCCACCATCACCTCCCTCCTTCCTCTCCTCCGCCCTCCCCCCCCCCCCCCCCCCCCTTTCCCTCCTTGCAGCCGTACCTGCAGGCATTGGAGCAGGAGAGCGCAGGCGACTGTGCAGACCTCTTCACGGAGGCAGGCGACGCGTTCATGGCCGTGGGCCGGCCGGCAGATGCCGTCCGCTTCTACCGCCCGCTCTGCTGCCACTGGGATCACGTGCCACTCGCTGCTGCCGCTGCCGCCGCTGCAGATGCTGCTGCTGGGGATCCTGGGGGTGCTGCTGCTGCAGAAGCCGGTGCCGGTGGGGCAGCGACAGCGTCAGAGGGGCAAGTGGGAGGGGCGGAGGCGATATGGCAGGAGGTGGAGGGGCGGGCGGCGGTGTGGGTGAAGCTGGGAGCGGCGTGTGCTGCTGCTGGCCGCGTGGATGACGCCCTGCTCATTCTCCACCGAGGTGCGTGCACCGGAGGCACTCTCTTCCCTCCTTTATGCTCCCTTCCCTCCTTTACACTCTTCCCTCCTTTACACTCTTCCCTCCTTTACACTCTTCCCTCCTTTACACTCTTCCCTCCTTTACACTCTTCCCTCCTTTACACTCTTCCCTCCTTTATGCTCTTCCCTCCTTTACACTCTTCCCTCCTTTACACTCTTCCCTCCTTTATGCTCCCTTCCCTCCTTTACACTCTTCCCTCCTTTACACTCTTCCCTCCTTTATGCTCCCTTCCCTCCTTTACACTCTTCCCTCCTTTATGCTCCCTTCCCTCCTTTACACTCTTCCCTCCTTTACACTCTTCCCTCCTTTATGCTCCCTTCCCTCCTTTACACTCTTCCCTCCTTTACACTCTTCCCTCCTTTATGCTCCCTTCCCTCCTTTACACTCTTCCCTCCTTTACACTCTTCCCTCCTTTATGCTCCCTTCCCTCCTTTACACTCTTCCCTCCTTTACACTCTTCCCTCCTTTATGCTCCCTTCCCTCCTTTACACTCTTCCCTCCTTTACACTCTTCCCTCCTTTATGCTCCCTTCCCTCCTTTACACTCTTCCCTCCTTTATGCTCCCTTCCCTCCTTTACACTCTTCCCTCCTTTACACTCTTCCCTCCTTTATGCTCCCTTCCCTCCTTTACACTCTTCCCTCCTTTACACTCTTCCCTCCTTTATGCTCCCTTCCCTCCTTTACACTCTTCCCTCCTTTATGCTCCCTTCCCTCCTTTACACTCTTCCCTCCTTTACACTCTTCCCTCCTTTATGCTCCCTTCCCTCCTTTACACTCTTCCCTCCTTTACACTCTTCCCTCCTTTATGCTCCCTTCCCTCCTTTACACTCTTCCCTCCTTTACACTCTTCCCTCCTTTATGCTCCCTTCCCTCCTTTACACTCTTCCCTCCTTTATGCTCCCTTCCCTCCTTTACACTCTTCCCTCCTTTACACTCTTCCCTCCTTTACACTCTTCCCTCCTTTACACTCTTCCCTCCTTTACACTCTTCCCTCCTTTACACTCTTCCCTCCTTTACACTCTTCCCTCCTTTATGCTCCTTCCCTCCTTTACACTCTTCCCTCCTTTACACTCTTCCCTCCTTTATGCTCCCTTCCCTCCTTTACACTCTTCCCTCCTTTACACTCTTCCCTCCTTTATGCTCCCTTCCCTCCTTTACACTCTTCCCTCCTTTATGCTCCCTTCCCTCCTTTACACTCTTCCCTCCTTTACACTCTTCCCTCCTTTATGCTCCCTTCCCTCCTTTACACTCTTCCCTCCTTTACACTCTTCCCTCCTTTATGCTCCCTTCCCTCCTTTACACTCTTCCCTCCTTTACACTCTTCCCTCCTTTATGCTCCCTTCCCTCCTTTACACTCTTCCCTCCTTTACACTCTTCCCTCCTTTATGCTCCCTTCCCTCCTTTACACTCTTCCCTCCTTTACACTCTTCCCTCCTTTACACTCTTCCCTCCTTTATGCTCCCTTCCCTCCTTTACACTCTTCCCTCCTTTACACTCTTCCCTCCTTTATGCTCCCTTCCCTCCTTTACACTCTTCCCTCCTTTACACTCTTCCCTCCTTTATGCTCCCTTCCCTCCTTTACACTCTTCCCTCCTTTATGCTCCCTTCCCTCCTTTACACTCTTCCCTCCTTTACACTCTTCCCTCCTTTATGCTCCCTTCCCTCCTTTACACTCTTCCCTCCTTTACACTCTTCCCTCCTTTATGCTCCCTTCCCTCCTTTACACTCTTCCCTCCTTTACACTCTTCCCTCCTTTATGCTCCCTTCCCTCCTTTACACTCTTCCCTCCTTTACACTCTTCCCTCCTTTATGCTCCCTTCCCTCCTTTACACTCTTCCCTCCTTTACACTCTTCCCTCCTTTATGCTCCCTTCCCTCCTTTACACTCTTCCCTCCTTTACACTCTTCCCTCCTTTATGCTCCCTTCCCTCCTTTACACTCTTCCCTCCTTTACACTCTTCCCTCCTTTATGCTCCCTTCCCTCCTTTACACTCTTCCCTCCTTTACACTCTTCCCTCCTTTATGCTCCCTTCCCTCCTTTACACTCTTCCCTCCTTTACACTCTTCCCTCCTTTATGCTCCCTTCCCTCCTTTACACTCTTCCCTCCTTTACACTCTTCCCTCCTTTATGCTCCCTTCCCTCCTTTACACTCTTCCCTCCTTTATGCTCCCTTCCCTCCTTTACACTCTTCCCTCCTTTACACTCTTCCCTCCTTTACACTCTTCCCTCCTTTACACTCTTCCCTCCTTTACACTCTTCCCTCCTTTACACTCTTCCCTCCTTTACACTCTTCCCTCCTTTATGCTCCCTTCCCTCCTTTACACTCTTCCCTCCTTTACACTCTTCCCTCCTTTACACTCTTCCCTCCTTTACACTCTTCCCTCCTTTACACTCTTCCCTCCTTTACACTCTTCCCTCCTTTATGCTCCCTTCCCTCCTTTACACTCTTCCCTCCTTTACACTCTTCCCTCCTTTATGCTCCCTTCCCTCCTTTACACTCTTCCCTCCTTTACACTCTTCCCTCCTTTATGCTCCCTTCCCTCCTTTACACTCTTCCCTCCTTTATGCTCCCTTCCCTCCTTTACACTCTTCCCTCCTTTACACTCTTCCCTCCTTTATGCTCCCTTCCCTCCTTTACACTCTTCCCTCCTTTACACTCTTCCCTCCTTTATGCTCCCTTCCCTCCTTTACACTCTTCCCTCCTTTACACTCTTCCCTCCTTTATGCTCCCTTCCCTCCTTTACACTCTTCCCTCCTTTACACTCTTCCCTCCTTTATGCTCCCTTCCCTCCTTTACACTCTTCCCTCCTTTACACTCTTCCCTCCTTTACACTCTTCCCTCCTTTATGCTCCCTTCCCTCCTTTACACTCTTCCCTCCTTTACACTCTTCCCTCCTTTATGCTCCCTTCCCTCCTTTACACTCTTCCCTCCTTTACACTCTTCCCTCCTTTATGCTCCCTTCCCTCCTTTACACTCTTCCCTCCTTTACACTCTTCCCTCCTTTATGCTCCCTTCCCTCCTTTACACTCTTCCCTCCTTTACACTCTTCCCTCCTTTACACTCTTCCCTCCTTTATGCTCCCTTCCCTCCTTTACACTCTTCCCTCCTTTACACTCTTCCCTCCTTTATGCTCCCTTCCCTCCTTTACACTCTTCCCTCCTTTACACTCTTCCCTCCTTTATGCTCCCTTCCCTCCTTTACACTCTTCCCTCCTTTATGCTCCCTTCCCTCCTTTACACTCTTCCCTCCTTTACACTCTTCCCTCCTTTATGCTCCCTTCCCTCCTTTACACTCTTCCCTCCTTTACACTCTTCCCTCCTTTATGCTCCCTTCCCTCCTTTACACTCTTCCCTCCTTTACACTCTTCCCTCCTTTATGCTCCCTTCCCTCCTTTACACTCTTCCCTCCTTTACACTCTTCCCTCCTTTATGCTCCCTTCCCTCCTTTACACTCTTCCCTCCTTTACACTCTTCCCTCCTTTATGCTCCCTTCCCTCCTTTACACTCTTCCCTCCTTTATGCTCCCTTCCCTCCTTTACACTCTTCCCTCCTTTACACTCTTCCCTCCTTTACACTCTTCCCTCCTTTACACTCTTCCCTCCTTTACACTCTTCCCTCCTTTACACTCTTCCCTCCTTTACACTCTTCCCTCCTTTATGCTCCCTTCCCTCCTTTACACTCTTCCCTCCTTTACACTCTTCCCTCCTTTATGCTCCCTTCCCTCCTTTACACTCTTCCCTCCTTCACACTCTTCCCTCCTTTATGCTCCCTTCCCTCCTTTACACTCTTCCCTCCTTATGCTCCCTTCCCTCCTTTACACTCTTCCCTCCTTTACACTCTTCCTCCTTTATGCTCCCTTCCCTCCTTTACACTCTTCCCTCCTTTACACTCTTCCCTCCTTTATGCTCCCTTCCCTCCTTTACACTCTTCCCTCCTTTATGCTCCCTTCCCTCCTTTACACTCTTCCCTCCTTTACACTCTTCCCTCCTTTATGCTCCCTTCCCTCCTTTACACTCTTCCCTCCTTTACACTCTTCCCTCCTTTATGCTCCCTTCCCTCCTTTACACTCTTCCCTCCTTTACACTCTTCCCTCCTTTATGCTCCTTCCCTCCTTTACACTCTTCCCTCCTTTACACTCTTCCCTCCTTTATGCTCCCTTCCCTCCTTTACACTCTTCCCTCCTTTACACTCTTCCCTCCTTTACACTCTTCCCTCCTTTATGCTCCCTTCCCTCCTTTACACTCTTCCCTCCTTTACACTCTTCCCTCCTTTATGCTCCCTTCCCTCCTTTACACTCTTCCCTCCTTTACACTCTTCCCTCCTTTATGCTCCCTTCCCTCCTTTACACTCTTCCCTCCTTTACACTCTTCCCTCCTTTATGCTCCCTTCCCTCCTTTACACTCTTCCCTCCTTTATGCTCCCTTCCCTCCTTTACACTCTTCCCTCCTTTACACTCTTCCCTCCTTTATGCTCCCTTCCCTCCTTTACACTCTTCCCTCCTTTACACTCTTCCCTCCTTTATGCTCCCTTCCCTCCTTTACACTCTTCCCTCCTTTACACTCTTCCCTCCTTTATGCTCCCTTCCCTCCTTTACACTCTTCCCTCCTTTATGCTCCCTTCCCTCCTTTACACTCTTCCCTCCTTTACACTCTTCCCTCCTTTATGCTCCCTTCCCTCCTTTACACTCTTCCCTCCTTTACACTCTTCCCTCCTTTATGCTCCCTTCCCTCCTTTACACTCTTCCCTCCTTTACACTCTTCCCTCCTTTATGCTCCCTTCCCTCCTTTACACTCTTCCCTCCTTTATGCTCCCTTCCCTCCTTTACACTCTTCCCTCCTTTACACTCTTCCCTCCTTTATGCTCCCTTCCCTCCTTTACACTCTTCCCTCCTTTACACTCTTCCCTCCTTTATGCTCCCTTCCCTCCTTTACACTCTTCCCTCCTTTACACTCTTCCCTCCTTTATGCTCCCTTCCCCTCCTTTACACTCTTTCCCTCCTTTATGCTCGCTCCCTTCCCTCCTTTACATGCTCCTCTTCCCTCCTTTACACTCTTCCCTCCTTTATGCTCCCTTCCCTCCTTTACACTCTTCCCTCCTTTACACTCTTCCCTCCTTTATGCTCCCTTCCCTCCTTTACACTCTTCCCTCCTTTACACTCTTCCCTCCTTTATGCTCCCTTCCCTCCTTTACACTCTTCCCTCCTTTATGCTCCCTTCCCTCCTTTACACTCTTCCCTCCTTTACACTCTTCCCTCCTTTATGCTCCCTTCCCTCCTTTACACTCTTCCCTCCTTTACACTCTTCCCTCCTTTATGCTCCCTTCCCTCCTTTACACTCTTCCCTCCTTTACACTCTTCCCTCCTTTATGCTCCCTTCCCTCCTTTACACTCTTCCCTCCTTTATGCTCCCTTCCCCCTCCTTTACACTCTTCCCTCCTTTACACTCTTCCCTCCTTTATGCTCCCTTCCCTCCTTTACACTCTTCCCCCTCCTTTACACTCTTCCCTCCTTTATGCTCCCTTCCCTCCTTTACACTCTTCCCTCCTTTACACTCTTCCCTCCTTTATGCTCCCTTCCCTCCTTTACACTCTTCCCTCCTTTATGCTCCTTCCCTCCTTTACACTCTTTTACTCTTCCCTCCTTTACACTCTTCCCTCCTTTATGCTCCTTCCCTTCCCTCCTTTACACTCTTCCCTCCTTTACACTCTTCCCTCCTTTATGCTCCCTTCCCTCCTTTACACTCTTCCCTCCTTTACACTCTTCCCTCCTTTATGCTCCCTTCCCTCCTTTACACTCTTCCCTCCTTTATGCTCCCTTCCCTCCTTTACACTCTTCCCTCCTTTACACTCTTCCCTCCTTTATGCTCCCTTCCCTCCTTTACACTCTTCCCTCCTTTACACTCTTCCCTCCTTTATGCTCCCTTCCCTCCTTTACACTCTTCCCTCCTTTACACTCTTCCCTCCTTTATGCTCACTTCCCTCCTTTACACTCTTCCCTCCTTTATGCTGCCCTTCCCTCCTTTACACTCTTCCCTCCTTTACACTCTTCCCTCCTTTATGCTCCCTTCCCTCCTTTACACTCTTCCCTCCTTTACACTCTTCCCTCCTTTATGCTCCCTTCCCTCCTTTACACTCTTCCCTCCTTTATGCTCCCTTCCCTCCTTTACACTCTTCCCCCTCCTTTACACTCTTCCCTCCTTTATGCTCCCTTCCCTCCTTTACACTCTTCCCTCCTTTACACTCTTCCCTCCTTTATGCTCCCTTCCCTCCTTTACACACTCTTCCCTCCTTTACACTCTTCCCTCCTTTATGCTCCCTTCCCTCCTTTACACTCTTCCCTCCTTTATGCTCCCTTCCCTCCTTTACACTCTTCCCTCCTTTACACTCTTCCCTCCTTTATGCTCCCTTCCCTCCTTTACACTCTTCCCTCCTTTACACTCTTCCCTCCTTTATGCTCCCTTCCCTCCTTTACACTCTTCCCTCCTTTATGCTCCCTTCCCTCCTTTACACACTCTTCCCTCCTTTACACTCTCTTCCCTCCTTTATGCTCCCTTCCCTCCTTTACACTCTTCCCTCCTTTACACTCTTCCCTCCTTTATGCTCCCTTCCCTCCTTTACACTCTTCCCTCCTTTACACTCTTCCCTCCTTTATGCTCCCTTCCCTCCTTTACACTCTTCCCTCCTTTACACTCTTCCCTCCTTTATGCTCCCTTCCCTCCTTTACACTCTTCCCTCCTTTATGCTCCCTTCCCTCCTTTACACTCTTCCCTCCCCTTTACACTCTTCCCTCCTTTATGCTCCCTTCCCTCCTTTACACTCTTCCCTCCTTTACACTCTTCCCTCCTTTATGCTCCCTTCCCTCCTTTACACTCTTCCCTCCTTTATGCTCCCTTCCCTCCTTTACACTCTTCCCTCCTTTACACTCTTCCCTCCTTTATGCTCCCTTCCCTCCTTTACACTCTTCCCTCCTTTACACTCTTCCCTCCTTTATGCTCCCTTCCCTCCTTTACACTCTTCCCTCCTTTACACTCTTCCCTCCTTTATGCTCCCTTCCCTCCTTTACACTCTTCCCTCCTTTATGCTCCCTTCCCTCCTTTACACACTCTTCCCTCCTTTACACTCTTCCCTCCTTTATGCTCCCTTCCCTCCTTTACACTCTTCCCTCCTTTACACTCTTCCCTCCTTTATGCTCCCTTCCCTCCTTTACACTCTTCCCTCCTTTACACTCTTCCCTCCTTTATGCTCCCTTCCCTCCTTTACACTCTTCCCTCCTTTATGCTCCCTTCCCTCCTTTACACTCTTCCCTCCTTTACACTCTTCCCTCCTTTATGCTCCCTTCCCTCCTTTACACTCTTCCCTCCTTTACACTCTTCCCTCCTTTATGCTCCCTTCCCTCCTTTACACTCTTCCCTCCTTTACACTCTTCCCTCCTTTATGCTCCCTTCCCTCCTTTACACTCTTCCCTCCTTTATGCTCCCTTCCCTCCTTTACACTCTTCCCTCCTTTACACTCTTCCCTCCTTTATGCTCCCTTCCCTCCTTTACACTCTTCCCTCCTTTACACTCTTCCTCCTTTATGCTCCCTTCCCTCCTTTACACTCTTCCCTCCTTTACACTCTTCCCTCCTTTATGCTCCCTTCCCTCCTTTACACTCTTCCCTCCTTTATGCTCCCTTCCCTCCTTTACACCTTCCCTCCTTTACAACTCTTCCCTCCTTTATGCTCCCTTCCCTCCTTTACACTCTTCCCTCCTTTATGCTCCCTTCCCTCCTTTACACTCTTCCCTCCTTTATGCTCCCTTCCCTCCTTTACACTCTCTCAAACGCTCCCTTCCCTCTTTACACTTTCTTCTTCCGTCCCAGCTCTCTCGTCTCTTGCACCACTCTCTCCCATCCTCACCGCCACTGGGCATCTGCACTTCTTACCTGTTGCCCACGTGTCTCCTCATTAATAATCACCGTCTCGCCTCACTCACCTGCACCTGCCACCGTTCATCACCTCTCCTCACCCACCTCAACTCCTTCGACGCTTTCCCTTTCCTTCCACTCTGCCCTCTTCTCTCCCTTTGCGCTCCCCTCCCCTAATCACCGTCTCGCCTCACTCACCTGCACCTGCCACCGTTCATCACCTCTCCTCACCCAGCCTCAACTCCTTCGACGCTTTCCCTTCCTCCCTCTGCCCTCTTCTCTCCCTTGCGCTCCCCTCCCCTCCCCCCAGTGGTGGCGTGCCTGCCCTGGCTGCCTCAACCCCGCCTGCACCTCTCCTCTGCGCTCGCCCTCGCGGGTCGCCTGCCAGAGGCAGCGGCCGTGCTGGAGGGGCCGGGGGAGGGCCAGCAGGGGGGTGTCGAGGGGCAGCAGGCAGGGGCAGAGGCAGCACGGGGAGGATCGCAGGGGGGTGCGTCAGGTGCCACAGGCTCTTATGCCATCCCCAAGGGCACTACAGTGGTGGCGCGGGCGAGGGGGCGGGGGGGAGGAGGGGCGGGGCGGCGTGGTGGAAGCTGGTGGAGGTGCGACTGGCCAGGGCGTACCTGTGGGACAAGGCTGACAACGCCAGCAAGTTCCTGGAAGTTGCGCTGCCCATGGTGTCCCAGTCTATGTGGGCCATCGAGAAGAACGAGCGGGTGGGTTGAGCAGCCACTGCCGTGGGCTGCGCAACGGCTTAGGTTGGGCTGGCAAGCGGCAGAGTGAGCAGGTGGGGCTTCAAGTGTATAGATGCGTGAGTCATGTCAGTTGTGTCAGGATCTTGGATGGATGGATAGGTCGGGGTGAGTGAGACGTGGGAAATGGGTGAGCGGGCATGAGCGGTGATGTACAGGACGCAGCTTTGCCCGGAGGGGACAGCGCTCGCATGAGAAGTGCGAGTGAATGCAGGTGGGAGGTTGAATGGGTGCTTCACTCCTAGTATTGGCGGAACAGAGCAGGTTATCGAAGGAGAGATCCCGTGAGAGTGGGGAGTCCAGAGAGCGAGTGGGACTCGTTATCTTCATCCCCTCGCCTCACACCCCTTTTCACCCGCTCCCTGCCCGCGCATCAGATTGTGGCGGCCTTCCGGGCGGCGCACCCGTGGTGGCGGGCGTGGATGCGGCAGCTGAAGGCGCTGCTGGGCGAGCAGGCGAGGGAGGGCAAGGAGGGGCTCTACCGCGGCCTCAAGCTGCGCCTGCCCCGTGGCATCGCGTGAGTGCACAGGGATGGCGTGCTTGCAGAGGGGGGTTGTGGGGGCACGGAGTAGGGATTGTGAGACCCCTCCCCTCACACGCCCTCATTCTCTCACCACCTCTCATACCATCCCGTGCACTATCCTCCCACCACCATGCCATCACCCACCCTCTCCCTGCACCTCATTTCTCTCCTCCCTCACACACACCATCACCCCTCCTCCCCGCTCTTTCCCCCCTACCTCCCCCCTCAACCCCCTCCTCTCCTCCGACCCGCACAACCCAACCAGCTGCCAGCTGGCGAATCGGCGGCGCCTGGCGCGGCTGGCAGCAGAGGAGGCGGAGAGACAGGCGGCGCTGGGGGAGGGGAGGGGCGCGGGGGAGGGGGAGTGGGGAGCGGGAGGAGAGGGGGCGGGGAAGGCAGGTGGTGGTCGGGGGGGGATTGGCACGGACTCAGTGCGGCTGCAGCTAGAGGTGCGGGGGAGAGCGAGGTTGAGGAAAAAACGAGGAAAAGATTGAAGTGGGAAGGGTTGTGGGCTATGTTGCAAAATACGCGTATGGCGTACGGAACGCGTACGAACTATACGGTATCGTACATACGCGATACGCAAATTTCCAGCGTACAAAAAACCTCGAAATACGGTGCGTCGGGCAGGTTGAAATTTTCTAGGGCAGGGAAAAAACATTTCAGTTGAGGTAGAATGCTTATAGGGAAAGAACTTCAGCAATACTTGATGCGGATAACTCCCGTGGGGTTTTCGCCAGTACGAAATTGTTGGCTAGAATCGTCCTAATATTGCGGTTGCTAAAATCTGCAAGTGACGCGACGCCGCTGCTAGCAATAGCAGTAAACTTGGCGTGAGCTTCGCTGTTGTACTCACGCCGACTGGCGAGCAGCTTGTAAGGGAAGGTTGGGTTTGGGAGGTGGTGTGAGGTGATGTGCGGTGGAGGGGAGGGGAGGGGGCATTCGAGTTTCGAATCTCAAATTAGGTTTCACAGAATTGCAGATCGCGGAATCAGCGGCAACAGATTTTTTTTCTCTTTTTTTTTTTCGCCTGCCCGGATTTACGTATCGCGTATTTGTCCCCGTTTCACGTTTCACGTTTATACGTGAACTCATATACCTGAAACGTAAAATTTCCTAAGCGTATAGTGCAACATAGGTTGTGGGTAGAAAAGCGAGAAAGGGAAGCACTCACTCACCCCTCTCCTTTCATCACTCACCCCTCTCCTTTCATCACATCACTCACCCCCCCTTCATCACTCACCCCTCCCTTTCATCACTCACCCCTCCCCTTTCATCACTCACCCCTCCCTTTCATCACTCACCCCTCTCCTTTCATCACTCACCCCTCTCCTTTCATCACTCACCCCTCCCCTTCATCACTCACCCCTCCCTTTCATCACTCACCCCTCCCTTCATCATCACTCACCCCTCCCTTTCATCACTCACCCCTCCCTTTCATCACTCACCCCTCCCTTTCATCACTCACCCCTCTCCTTTCATCACTCACCCCTCTCCTTTCATCACTCACCCCTCCCTTTCATCACTCACCCCTCTCCTTTCATCACTCACCCCTCCCTATCATCACTCACCCCTCCCTTTCATCGCTCACCCCTCCCTTTCATCACTCACCCCTCCCTTTCATCACTTGCTCCAGTCATCCCCCCCTGGCCCTATCCTCCTCTCTGAAGCACCCTTTTTTCCTCTCGGAACTTTCCCTCTCCCCTCTCCTCCTCCTATCCTCCTCCTTGCCTCCCTTACTTTCCCTCTCATAGCGCCGTCCAGCTGCGACTTGGGCCTGCAGGGCGTGGACGGGCCCTCCTTTCTCAACACCCTCGCCCCTCCCCTCCTCATCCCGCCTCTCTCAACCCCATCCCCCCCTCCCCTCCCCACTCCCCTCCCCCTCCCCTCCCCCTCCCCTCCCCCTCCCCTCCCCCTCCCCTCCCCACCCCCTCCCCCTCCCCTCCCCCTCCCCTCCCCACTTCCCTCCCCACTCCCCTCCCTCTGGGCGCCACACAGCTGAGCTCTCTGAACCCATCCCCCGCTCCTCCCCCTTCCCCTCTCCCCCCCTCCCCCCGGTGGTGCGGCGCACAGCTGAGCGACTTGGGGCTCAAGGACGTGGACGAGCCCACGCTGCACGAGGTGCCGCTTCCTGGAATCTTCTCAGACGACCAGCAGTTCGCCCTGCTTCTCAAGGTTCGCCTCTGCCCCTTCCTGCCTCTGCCTCCCTCCTCCTTCCATCTCGCCCTGTAATGTTGTGTATCGTACTGCCATATAGCAATACCTGTCACGCCACATAGCTTGCATGGTCAATGCCCAAATGGAACCAGTGGTGGCGGGACCAGCTGCTGCCGCCACTCTCCCTCACCCACGCCCTGGAAGCCCCTCTCTCACCCACGCCCTGGAAGCCCCTCTCTCACCCACGCCCTGGAAGCCCCTCTCTCACCTCCCTCCCCCCACATTGCCCTGCCACTTCCCATGCACCCATTCTGCCCTTCTGCCGCCCCCATAGGGCTCCAGTCCCTGTGAGTATCGATCCATACCCCCTCAAGTCAATGTCCGCTGCATGAGTGCTGCTCGCTCCCACCAACCCCGCCTCTCCCTGCACCACTCACCCCACGCCCTCCCCTGTCCCCTCGCACCGTGAGCCCACCACCACCGCCCCACCAGGTGGTGCAGGCTCTGCTGCATGAGGGCCGCCCCATGGAGGCTGAGCGCCTCGTTGAGACCGCTCTTTCCCGGAACCTTCCCAAGCCCATGAGGAAGCAGCTGCAGTCAGCCATTGCTGGTGAGCGCCCGGTCCATCCCCGGCCATTTCCTCTGCTGCGCCATGCTGCTCTTTCCCTGTCCCTCCCATGCCCTCACCCCCCGTCCCCCCCCGCGGCCACGCCACTGTGCGTGGTGCCCCATGGGCGTGCAGAGGAGGCGAGCGGCATGCTGCAGTTTGAGGTGGCGCGGGCCATCATCAGCGAGCAGCCTCACAGCATCCAAGGCTGGTCGCTCTTCCACTCCCTCACCCTCAGGTGCGCTCTCTGCTCTCTCTCTCTCTCTCATGTACACATGTACCCCACTCTTTCGTTTGCGCCCTCTCTGATGGATTGAACAAGATGCCAAGATTTAGGGGACAGAGACCGCTGTGTGTATTTGTCAGATGCACACACACACACACACACACACACACACACACACACACACACATACACACACACACACACACACACACACACACGCCCACCCAACCACACAGATCCAACCACACACACACCCATGCACATCCAAAGCTCCATCACCACAAGCACACGCGTCACCCTTTAGACCTCCTTCCGTCCACAACGGCTGCGCCCCTCTCCCCCATCTCCAGGGGCACGGAGAGCAACGACCGGCGGGCCAAGTTCCTGCAGCAGATGCGCATGCGGCAGCCGGCGTGCGTGGCGGCCATGGTGGTGTCGGGGCACCACCATGCGCTGCGCGGCCACATGCAGGGCGCGTGCCGCGAGTACCTGCGCGCCCACCGCCTGCACCCCCACGACCCCCTCATCTGCCTCTGCTCTGGTACGTTTGGGGGGGGCTTTCAGGGCAGTGCTGTGGGAAGGGGGATGATGGGAAGGGGGTGGGCGAGAAACGGGAGGAGGGAGAGGGGAGATGTTGTCACGGCAGTGCTGTTGTCTGCAGCGTGCCTACCAGCTCATGTGTGTTTCACTACCACATTTTTTTACAAATCTACCCCCTCACCCCTCTCATCTCCCTCACCCCTCTCCCCCTCACCCCTCTCATCCCCCTCACCCCTCTCATCCCCCTCATCCCTCTCATCCCCCTTTCCCTCCCACGCCGCACACCCTCGCTGCCAGCAGGAGTGGCGCTGCTGGATCTCTCCCTGGGCTCGCGCCTGCGTGACCGCAGCCAGTGTGTGCTGCAGGGCATGGCGCTGCTGCAGCAGTACGCCCAGCTATCAGGCGACACTCAGGTGACGGCATGTTAGGAGGAAGCCAATGGGTACTCCATTTGAACCTCTCAACAAGCTCGATTGGTGAAGTGCGCTCCCAAGTGGACCCGCCTTCTGCTTCCCTCGTCATCTCCTTCCCTTCCCATAGCCGGCATTTCCTTCCCATAGCCGGCATTTCCTGTTTGGTTCCGTGTTGCTCATCGCAGGAGGTGCATTTCAACTTGGGTCGTGCGTTCCACCATGTGGGTCTGCTGCACCTCGCTGTCGACCACTACAAGCGCGTTCTCTCCTCCGCCACTCCACATCGGCACCATGCCACGGCCGAGCAGCTGGGATTGAGAAGCCGCAGAAGCAGGGAGGTTAGAGATCAGGAAGGGCAGGAATATGACGCAGGGTTGAAGCGAGAAGCAGCCCATAACTTGGTGGCCATTTACAGAAATAGCGGAGCTGATGCGTTAGCCAGACAAATCATGAGAAGCTATCTGACCATTTGAGTTTGATGTAGGGCGTTGGCTCGCTAAAGTTCGTATTGTTTATTTCAGAATGATGACAACGGGTGGAGAAACAGTTGCCCAAATTTGATTTGACGCACCTTCCACGAGGCTGCATTTTTGCCGGGACAGTAATTTAGTGCTACCGTATTCCCCCGGATATAAGACCCTAGGGTCTTATGCTAAATCCCTAGAAAAAATGGGGGGGGTCTTAACAAAGGAAAAAAAATATATAACACCCGGGTCTTTTCATATGGCACTACCTCTCTTTAGTGTTTTCAACACCTAAGCTAATACTGAAGTTGTGGGCTTGCTTTTGGTGATCGTTTGACCAGTCAAAACGAATTCGCCCGTCACAGTAAAATTCGCCCCTCTGACGCAGCAATTTCGCCCTCTGACACAGCAATTCCGCCACCTGACGCAGCAAACTAGCCCCCTGACGCAGCAAATCAATCGCTCTGACACGGGAATTGACCCCCCGAAAGCCGAATTCGCATTATAGAATGCCTCTGTTTCGGACGAAACAAATAAAAAGTATATGGAAAACCCCCCTATAGGGGAAAAGGGGGGGGTCTTATATTCAGTACCCCCCAAAGGGGGGGTATAACGATAAAGTGATTAAATAAAAGACCCTCCCCGTATTAGGTACCCGGGGGTGTTGTATTTTGGGGGGGTCTTCTATCCGGGGGAATTCGGTAAATTTTCTTCGACCTTCTTTGGGCGTATTCCTACGGCCTCCTATCAAGAAACCTCCTATCAAGATTGTACCTTTTGCCTGGTAAAAGTAGCGAGAGGTTTTGGGTTTAGGGGATTTTTCAGTGTGAGCTTGATAAGAGGTTTTCTTGATAAGAGGATAGGAATACGCCCTCAACCTTTTCCTGAATTCTTCTACGCTGCGTGTACCTGGCAAGCTGGTTTTGTTTTATTCAATTCATAAATAAATAAATAAATAAATAATTTAAAAAAAAAGTCGTCGTAGGGTTGCAAAGCGTTTTGCAATTACATTCTCTATGTGCAACTTCAAATTATATGGAACTAGGCTGTACTTCAAGCTACCGTATGTGATAAGGTATAAAAAGAGTTGCACTTCAGGACCTGCATAAATCAATCCGGAAACTTTTCAGGTCTTTAGCATTGTAACGAAAATTTCACATATTTAGTTTCTGAGAAGGGATACTGGGTTTTCCAATATCGAAACAGGCGCACCATGATCTTGTCACCTCCCCCCAACCAGGATGATTGCATCATTATACACACACCGATTTTGCATGAGCTCAAAGCTCGCGCTCAAAGTGACAGGCAAGATCGATCGCCGTCGCAAAGTTTGCAGGGTTACCCAAATCATATCATGTTTTTTTTTCTCGCAAATCATCCATACGACAGTGCTGCATATTTTCGCCCAACCATGTCCTCTGCGCAATACCGAACGCGTCACCCAGGGCTCGAAACCAAGCTACGATCGATGTTCAACTGTCACCTCCCCTTAATCGTGCCCTAAACCTGCGATCGGTATGCCTGATCGGTTTTTCATCGTAATCCTACGATCGGATTATACCTACTAAAGGTGATTATATTGTCTCCTAAGTTAGAAATAAGACTTACGGTAGAAGCTGCAGCCAAGTATCACATTTGTGCTAGGATATTATGTTAGATTTGACGGATGTTGTTTGTAACTCTCTCTCTTATCCGTTCGCCTCTCCCTCTTCAGCCTCTCTATCGTCATTCTCGTTTCTTCGAAGTTAAGGTGTGTCAGAAAGAAGAGACTGGAATGATTGAACTATGAGTGAAAGCAGTACAAGTACCAAACCCTAGAATTGTGTACCCCCTATAGGCTAACCCACTGTAGCCTAAACAAACACAACATATATAATGTTTGACACACCCCCATAGGCAAAGTGGGGGAGAGCAAGGGGTCACAAGACCAGTCAAAGCAAAGCAAAACAAGCTCAGGGTGGATCTCAAGGATACCACACAAATTCCGAGCACAAGCAAGCGGTCACAAGACCAGTTCACATGCAGGTTGATAATATAACAAGAGATACAGTGATCACAACCTAGCAAGTGTAAACATGCAGGTATATATATAAAGATCACAGTACAAGCAGGGTCAAGAAGTAAGTAAGTGAGGTCCAGCAGGCACAAGGCCTAGAAGAGTACAGAAACGCTGATGGTCACAAGGCTGAAGCGCCTTGGTGAACACATCAGCAAGGTTGGCCTCAGTGGCCACGTAACGCAGACGAAGCTGACCACGCTGCTGCAGCTCTCGAGCAAGGAAGTACCGAAGGGCGATGTGCTTCGTTCTGTGCTCCAGTCTGTGCTCCTCACACAAGGCAATGGTAGCCTGGTTGTCGACGTACAGCACTGGAGGAGAACGAGGCCGCTCTCCCAAGTCGGTCAGCAGGTAGGTCAGCCAGCGAAGCTCCTGGGCAGCCATGGCTGTGGCGTAGATCTCAGCCTCACAACTGGAGCTGAGAACAGAAGAAGAGCGTGTAGAACGCCAAGAAACTGAGCCGGAGCCAAGGCTGAAGGTGTAACCCTGAGACGACCGCTGAGTAGCCTGGTCGTCCGCCCAAGAAGCGTCTGAGTGTCCAGTAAGTACAACTCGGTCTCGCCCTCCAAGCACTAGCCCCATGCCCGACGTACTGCACAAGTAGCACAACACCCTCTTAGCGGCATCCATGTGCTCCTTCCTGTGACGGCCAGGAGCAAAAAAGCGTGCAAGAATGCTAAGAGGGTATGCAAGGTCAGGTCGAGTGCAGGTCATCAGGTACATGAGGCAGCCCACAAGCTCTGGATACGGGCCACTCGGCTCTACGGACTCATCCGAAGGCAGAGCTGAGAGCGAGTGACCGGTAGGCAGAGGAGTGGACTGAGGCGAGGAGTACGTGAAGCGGAAGCGCTGGAGAACCTGCTGCACCATGTGTGACTGAGTCAAGGTGATGGTGCGCCGTGCTCTGTCCCGGGTGATCCGCAAGCCAAGATAGCTTGTCAGCTCACCCAGGTCTGTGCACGTGTGTCTCCTCTGCAGCTCCGACTTCACGTGGGCGAGTGCCGCTGTGTCAGCAGTGGCAAAGACCAAGTCGTCAACGTACACGAGGATGTAGAACGGCGGCAGCGAGGTGTCGGTGCGTAGAAACAGCGACGGGTCAGCAGTAGAGGGAGCGAACCCAAGAGCCGCAAGCGTCGTCCTCAGTGTGTCGTGCCACTCACGTGGCGCCTAGCGGAGACCGTAGACCGGCCGCTGAAGCCTCCACTGGGTGCCAGGAGGAACCGACCCAGTGAAGCCAGGAGGGCGGCGCAACCAGATCTCCTCGTGCAGGCTGCCCTGCAAGAAAGCAGTGCTGAAGTCAAGTGAGTGAAGCTCGTAGTCGCGCTGAGCGGCTATGTGCAGCAGCACCCGAAGAGTGGTCATCTTCGGGGTGGGGGAGAAGGTCTGAAAGAAGTCAACTCCCTCTCGCTGACTGAAGCCTCGAGCCACGTAGCGCGCCTTGAAGACAGGAGGAGAACCCGGCGGCCGCTTCACCCTGAAAATCCACATGCCACTGACGATGTTCGCCCCAGGTGGGGGAACCTCGTCGACGTAGGTGCGTGTGGACTTCCAGGAAGCCATCTCTGCGTCCATGGCTGTCTGCCACTGAGAGGAGTAGGGACCCGCCATCGCCTCAGCGTAAGTGCGCGGGGTCGGGATGTTTGGTGCATCCGGGTCTCCCTCAGGGGCAACTAGCATGGACACGAGGTGGGGTAAAGCAGCAGCAAAGCACTAGAACTCCTCCTGTCTGTCCTCAAGGACGTCCGTGCCAAGAGCACACTCACCCCCGACGGACGGAGGACAGACAGACTCAGACTCAGACTCAGCAACAAGACTAGCGGTGTAGTCTAGACGACAGGCAGCAGCAAAGTCAACTAACTCAGCGACCAGAGAAGACGCAGCGGTGGACTCAAAGGTAGGGTCAGTGACAACAGTAGCGAGGAGACGGGTGACAGTGGGACTGGTAGCACGACGGGAGTCAGACTCCGGATCAGGAAGAGTAGGCAGAGAGGACGCAGGAGGAGACGGCAGCGGAACACGCTGAGGAGCAGTGGAGGGACGCAGAGTCATGTAGTGAGTGCCAGGGACAGGAGGAGGACGCTCACGTGGGACACGACGACCAGTGCGAGCAGGACGAACAGGCGACGCAGGACGAGACTCAGGCTCACGACGCTCGGTAAGACCTCCTGTGGGACCAGTGTAAGGAGAGGGACCAGGGAGAAGCGAGGCAGGCGGGAACTGTGACTGCGACTGGACAGGCGGAGGACACTCGACGGAGGGAGGAGGACAAGGAGGAGGAGCCTGACCAAGAACCTGCTGAAGAAGCGGGACGAAGTACGGTCGCGGTCGCGGCCGCGCAGCGTCTCCAGAACCAGCAGAGACACCAGCAGCAGGGTCCTCAGCACCAGCAGCAGCTCCAACGTCCGGGTCCTCAGCACCAGCAGCAGCTCCACCGTCCGGGTCCTCAGCTCCAGTAGTAGCTCCAACGCCCGGGTCCGCAGCACCAGCAGCAGCGCCACCGCTCGGGTCCGCAGCACCAGCAGGAACTCCACCAGCCGGGTCCTCAGCTCCAGCAGCAGCTCCACCGCTCGGGTCCCCAGCTCCAGCAGCAGCTCCACCGTCCGGGTCCTCAGCTCCAGCAGTAGCTCCAACGCCCGGGTCCTCAGCACCAGCAGCAGCGCCACCCCCAGGGTCCGCAGCACCAGGAGCACCACTCCGAAGACTGCAGCGCCGCGTGTACCACTCTCGGATCTGCTGAATGGGGGGGAGCTCCTGGGCAGGAGGGGAAGTACCGGAACGAGCTCCAGTAGCACCTCTCCGGAGGCGGCAGTACTGTAGGTACCTCTCCTGCAGCTGCTGGGAGGAGAGGGCTCCTCCAGGTGTAGCACGCTCAGGCTCAGCACCTCCAGACACAGCACCCCCAGACGCAGCACCCCCAGGCTCAGCACCTCCAGACTCCGCACCTCCAGGCTCA